CCCCAGTGTCCCCATTGTCCCCAGTGTCCCCAGTGTCCCCCAGTGTCCCCCAGTGTCCCCCAGTGTCCCCAGTGTCCCCAGTGTCCCCCGTGTCCCCCAGTCCCCCCCAGTGTCCCCAGTGTCCCCATTGTCCCCAGTGTCCCCAGTGTCCCCAGTGTCCCCTCACCTCCGGTCAGCGCGTCCTCGATGTGCCGCAGCCTCTCCAGCTCGTGTGGCAGTGCCAGCGTCAGCGCCGTGCCCGGCTTGTCCCCACGGGCTGTCCTGGGGACAGGGGACATGCTGGGACACACTGGGGACACCCTGGGACACACTGGGACACACTGGGGTGACACTGGGGACACCCTGGGACACCCTGGGGACACCCTGGGGACACACTGGGGACACCCTGGGGTGACACTGGTGATACCCTGGTGACACTCTGGTGACACACTGGTGACACTGGTGACACAGGTGACACACGGGACACACAGGTGGCAGGTGATAGAGGTGACACAGGTGACACAGGTGACAGGTGACACAGGTGACACAGGTGACAGGTGACACAGGTGACACAGGTGACACACAGGTGACACAGGTGACACAGGTGACACAGGTGACCCAGGTGACAGAGGTGACACAGGTGACAGAGGTGACAGAGGTGACACAGGTGACAGGTGACACACAGGTGACACAGGTGACCCAGGTGACAGAGGTGACACAGGTGACAGAGGTGACAGAGGTGACACAGGTGACAGGTGACACACAGGTGACACAGGTGACCCAGGTGACAGAGGTGACACAGGTGACAGAGGTGACAGAGGTGACACAGGTGACAGGTGACACACAGGTGACACAGGTGACACACAGGTGACACACAGGTGACAGGTGACACAGGTGACAGGTGACACACCTGCCCACGCGGTGGATGTAGCACTCCACCGAGCCGGGGACATCAGTGACACCCGGGGGTGACACAGGTGACACAGGTGACACCCAGGTGACACAGGTGACACAGGTGACACAGGTGACAGAGGTGACACAGGTGACACAGGTGACACAGGTGACACCCAGGTGACAGAGGTGACACAGGTGACACAGGTGACACAGGTGACACAGGTGACACACAGGTGACACACAGGTGACACAGGTGACAGAGGTGACACAGGTGACAGGTGACAGAGGTGACACAGGTGACACACAGGTGACACACCTGCCCACGCGGTGGATGTAGCACTCCACCGAGCCGGGGACATCAGTGACACCCTGGGGTGACACAGGTGACACTGGTGACACACAGGTGACACAGGTGACACACAGGTGACACAGGTGACAGAGGTGACACAGGTGACAGGTGACAGAGGTGACACAGGTGACACAGGTGACACACCTGCCCACGCGGTGGATGTAGCACTCCACCGAGCCGGGGACATCAGTGACACCCGGGGGTGACACAGGTGACACAGGTGACACACAGGTGACACAGGTGACACAGGTGACACATAGGTGACACAGGTGACACAGGTGACAGGTGACAGAGGTGACACAGGTGACACACCTGCCCACGCGGTGGATGTAGCACTCCACCGAGCCGGGGACATTAGTGACACCCGGGGGTGACACTGGTGACACTCTGGTGACACACAGGTGACACAGGTGACACTGGTGACACAGGTGACACTGGTGACACAGGTGACAGAGGTGACACAGGTGACAGGTGACACACCTGCCCACGCGGTGGATGTAGCCCTCCACCGAGCCGGGGACATTAGTGACACCCGGGGGTGACACTGGGGACACTCTGGTGACACACAGGTGACATAGGTGACACTGGTGACACAGGTGACAGAGGTGACACAGGTGACAGGTGACACACCTGCCCACGCGGTGGATGTAGCACTCCACCGAGCCGGGGACATCGAAGTTGACGACGGCGGCGACGTTCTGGAAGTCGATGCCGCGGGAGGCGCTGAACTCGGGGTCCTGGGGACACCCTGGGGACTGTCCCCTGCCACTGCCACCCTTCCTGGGGGACAGGGGACACTCAGGGACATGGGGACACCCTGGGGACTGTCCCCTGCCACTGCCACCCTTCCTGGGGGACAGGGGACACTCAGGGACATGGGGACAGCCTGGGGACTGCCCCCTGCCACTGCCACCCTTCCTGGGGGACAGGGGGTGGCACACTGTCCCCACGGCTGACCTGATTGTCCCCAGTGCCACCCCCTGTCCCCAAAGCCACCCCCAGTCTCCAGTCCCACCCCCAAATCCACCCTCAGTGTCACCCCCTGTCCCCAGTGCCACCCCCAGTGCCACCCCCAGTGTCACCCCCAGTGTCACCCCCAGTGCCACCCCCAGTGTCACCTGGCTGTCCCCTCCCTGTGCGGGCGCTGCCGGGGTGGCTCCGCTGTCCCCTCCTCGTCGGTGGCCACGATGTAATCGTAGAGACCGCGGTTAAACTGGGCAATGACGTGGCACCTGCGACAGGGACAGGGACAGCTCAGTGACACCTGGGACAGGGACAGGGACAGCTCAGTGACACCTGCGACAGGGACAGGGACAGCTCAGTGACACCTGGGACATCAGGGACATCAGGGACACCTGGGACAGGGACACATCAGTGACACCTGGGACAGGGACAGGGACAGCTCAGTGACACCTGGGACATCAGGGACACCTGGGACAGGGACAGGGACAGCTCAGTGACACCTGGGACATCAGGGACACCTGGGACAGGGACAGGGACAGGGACACCTCAGTGACACCTGGGACATCAGGGACATCAGGGACAGCTCAGTGACACCTGGGACAGGGACAGGGGACACCTGGGACAGGGACATCAGCAGGGACAGCTCAGTGACACCCGGGGCACCCCAGTGTGACCCACCGGGATCAGGTGAGATCCCAGCACAGCCCAGGGATCCCCAGATCCCACA